CCTTTCCATTACTATTGGTTTCCTGTGCGTTTCCCTTTATTTCATTTAGTTTAGCCTTCATATGTTCCTCTAATTTGTGGCTAAAATCAACCAGTTGTGTGAGCATCCTGATCACCAGTGTTTTGAACTGTGCATCTGAAAGTCTGGCTATTTCTTCGTTGCTTAGAGTTATTGGCTCTGGGGCTTTGAGTTCTTCTTGAGCCATAATGTTTTGCTCTGTTCGCACCTGTTATGTATGAGGAGCGAAGCCTTAGGTGTTCACCAAGTTGGGGCTACCCATGTCGCTGATGTGTGATGATTATGCGGGGGCGAGGTCAGAGAGGGACAGTGGCGGTCCCCTCTCTGCTGGGGCCCGTGCGGTCTGTCTTAGTCTCACTGTATGCTCCTTCTTCAGTTATCTGTGCACGAATGTGTGACCGTGGTCAGCTCTCAGTGAATCCACTGCCTTGCGCCCTCAGTGGGTCTGCCTGCTACTCCACACCTGGGATCCACCCACTGCCTGCCTGCCTGGGTTGTGCTCCGGTCAGTCTGGTGGATTTTTCCAGCTCGACCCCACTCTGCTGTTGGCTCTGCCCCTCTTACTGGTTTGGCTTAAGGGTTCGTTGTTGTCAGGCTTCCATATAGTTCAATTTTCTATGGTTTGGCTATGTTTTTGTTGCCAAAACTTTGTTGTTTTTATACTTGGTTGTGAGAGAAGACAGAGTGTTTCCACCTATGCTTCCATCTTGGCGGAAGTCCTAAATATCTTTTTAAAATAAAAGTAATGTGTTAATTAAGAATTATAGAAAATGCAGATAAGCGACATTGAAGAAATAGAAGTTATCCATAACCTTACTATTAGTTAGCGTTTGATGTGCATTCATTGCCATTCTATGTGAATGAAATCTTAGTGTACATGCTGTTTTTCATTAGGAATAGCTTTAACAACTTAGAATGTCATTACATATTCTTTTACTACAATAATTTTTAAATTATTTCAGTTGATTGCAAAGCAGAGTAACTGATTTAAGTGTAACCTCACTTTGTAAAATAGACAAGACCTGCTGTGGTAGAAGCAGAAGTAGGCCTCTGAAGCTCTTCTTGGAACCCCCAAGCCACTGAGGGATACAGGTGACTTCAGATATTTGGTTTAAATTTTATTCAACACTATTATTTGACAAGGTTGTTGCCTTTTCTTTTTTAAGTATTATTTCCTTAAGAAGAATTCCTAGAAATGGAATTTCTCAGTATAAGTATTTTCATCTTTGGTTTAATACTTTTGCTGAGTTAATACAGAAAAGTTACTCCATATATTTCTTATTTGTAAAACTACATAGGAAAGTACCCATTTCCCTACATCTTCACCAATAGTTGGTATTTTTTGTTAATCTTTATGGGTTGTTCCCCCCAGCATTTTATTAAAAGTTTCTAATATAAAGGTGAAAGATTTTTTACAGTGAACATCTGCTTACTCACTTCCTGTATTCTAGTGTTTGTATTTTATTACTCTTGTTTTTTTTAATATATTTTATTGATTATGCCATTGCAGTTTTTCTATTCCTCTCCTTCATTCCCCTCCACTCTGCACACCCCTCCCCCATCACTCCCCCCCTTTAGTTTATGACCACGTGTCTCAAGTTCTTTAGATTCTATATTTCCCATACTATTCTTGCCCTCCCTCCTATCTATATTCTACCTACCTTCTATGCTACTTATTTTCTGTACCTTCTCCCCCCTTCTCCTTCTCCCACTCCCCTGTTGCTAACCTTCCATGTGATCTCATTTCTATGGTTCTGCTCCTGATCTAGCTGTCCTCTTAGTTTGCTTTTGTTTTAGGTGTGGTTCTTAATAACTGTGAGTTTGCTGTCCTTTCACTGTTCATGTTTTTTATCTTCTTTTTCTTAGATAAAGTCCCCTTAACATTTCATATAATAAGGGCTTGGTGATGATGAACTCCTTGAATTTGACCTTATCTGAGAAGCACTTTCTCTGCCCTTCCATTCTAAATGAAAGCTTTGCTGAATAGGTCAATCTTGGATGTAGGTCTTTGGATTTCATGACTTGGAATACTTCTTTCCAGCCCCTTCTTGCCTGTAAGGTCTCTTTGAGAAATCTGCTGAGAGTCTGATGGGGACTCCTTTGTAGGTGACTGTCCCCTTATCTCTTGCTCTTGCTGCTTCTAGGATTCTGTCCTTAATTTTAATCTTGGCTAATGTAATGATGGTGTGCCTTGGTGTGTTCCTTCTTGGGTCTAACTTCTTTGGGACTCTCTGAGCTCCCTGGATTTCCTGGAAGTCTATTTCCTTTGCCAGATTGGGGAAATTCTCCTTAATTATTTGTTCAAATAAGTTTTCCACTTGTGGCTGTTTCTCTTCCCCTTCTGGTACCCCTATAATTTGGATGTTGGAGTGTTTAAAGATGTCCTGGAGGTTCCTAAGCCTCTCCTTATTTCAAAAAAATGAACAGAAAACAATTCTTGTTTCTTCATCCTTTTCTGTTTGGTCATTTTTTTCTTCCTCATGGTCCAGTCTCTTGACTTGAGTCCCAGTTTCCTTTCCATCACTATTGGTTACCTGTGCATTTCTCTTTATTTCATTTAGTTTAGCCTTCATATGTTCCTCTAATTTGTGGCTAAAATCAACCAATTGTGTGCGCATCCTGATCACCAGTGTTTTGAACTGTGCATCTGAAAGTTTGGCTATTTCTTTGTTGCTTAGAATTACGGGCTCTGGGGCTTTGAGTTCTTCTTGAGCCATAATGTTTTGCTCTGTTCGCACCTGTTATGTATGAGGAGCGAAGCCTTAGGTGTTCACCAGGGCAGGGCTACCCATGTCGCTGGTTTGTGATGCTTATGTGGGGCAAGGTCAGAGAGGGACCATAGCGGTCTCCTCTGCTGCTTCCCATCGCTGGAGCCTTGCATAGTCTGTCTTACTGCTCTCCCCTTCGCCAGTTTATCTGTGGGTGAATGTGTCAGCCCTCAGTGGGTCTGCCCGCTGCTACTCCACACCTAGGATTCCCCCAACGGCTGCCTGCACTCTAGGTGGCGCGTCCAGGTCCAGTGGATCTTTCCTGCCCGACCCTGCTCTGCTGCTGGCTTCGCCCCTCTTACCGGTCTGGCTGGGTCTGGCTGAAAGGTTCATTGTTGTCAGACTTCTGTATAGTTCAATTTTCTGTGGTTTGGCTGCATTTTTGTTTCTAACTTTGTTGTTTTTAAACTTGGTTGTGGGAGAAGGCACAGGGTTTCCACCTACGCCTCCATTTTGGCGGAAGTCCTATTACACTTGTTTTGTTACACGTTTATCTATCTATGCTATTACTCATCCATCCTTAGTTTTTTGACACATTTCAAGGAACATTTTATTTTATTTTTTGTTTTTTTAAAGATTTTATTTATTTATCCCTAGAGGGGAAGGGAAGTAGAGAGGGAGAGAAATATTAATGTAGGGTTGCCTCTTATGCATCTCCAACTGGGAACTGGCCTGCAACCCAGGCATGTGCCCTGACTGGGAATTGAACCATGATCCTTTGGTTCACAGGCCCATGCTCAATCCAGTGAGCTACGCCAGCCAGGGCTCAAGGAACATTTTAGATCCCAGTATACTTCTACCTCAGAACTTCAGTGTGGAATACACAAATAATGAAAGTAATATGTAGACATAAGAAAAAAATCTGAAGTGAGAATATAAAGGGCTATCATCTGTTAGGTTTCAGTTAGCATTTAAGTGTTTTATAATCAACAGGTGTTGGTTTTGTAATTAGCAAAAATAAACATCAAGTAAACACAGACAGGCAAATCTAATCGATGTTTGTATAGACTATTTAGAATGTCCACAAAAAGCAGGAAGAAGAAAGGAGGGGAAATACTCATATTCCCAGAAGCAATTTTCTTTCTTACATAGTTGTGTGGTGGGGTGGTGGGGGTGTTTGTTTTTTGTTTTGTCTTCCTCAAGTTTCACAGTGTGGGGTGGCAGGAGAAGTTTGTTTTTTTTTTTTTTTTTTTCAAAATCTTCTGGATGAAGCAGCCCAAGTGTCCATCAGTAGATGAATGATTAGAACAACTGTGGGACATTTACACAATGGAATACCACTCAACCATAAGAAAAAGCAATTTCGCCCTTTGCAGTAACATAGATAAACCTAGAGAACATTACACTAAGTGAAATAAGCCAGTCAGAGACAAATACCATATAACTTTATTCATATTTGGAATCTAATGCTCAAACCGAACTAACAAGCAAAATAGAGACTCAGAGAGAGCAGGTTGACAGCTATGGGGGAGGTTAGAGGATGGAGGGATGGAGCAAAAAGGACAAAGGACTCACGGACATGAACAACAGTGTGGTGATTGCAGAGATGGGTATAAGAGGGTTAAATGGTAATGGAAAAAAAAAAACTTCTGGGCAAGAATTATGTATGAGTATAATGGCAAGATCCCAGAAGGCCAGGGTCCTAAGATTCGGGATGTAGTCCTAGAATTGATGCTAACTACCAAAGCACTTTATATCTTTTTATTTTCTTTTATTTTTTTTGTATAATATGAATAGGATACCTATTTATGCTATAAGGTAGTATATATGATAGCTTTCAACAAGCTGTATATTCTTTGAAACAGGAAGATTTTAGAATTGAGATTTGTATACATTCCTAGCATATTGTCAGAAAGCCACCTGCTATTTTTTGTTTCATGCCTAGTGAAAGAAAAACCAGCATACTAGCTCTTAGACTGGTGTTCTAACTTGTTGGAGGACAGAGTCTAACTGGCATGAAGTACTGTTCCAGTGTAATACATTTCAAAGCTAATAGCCTTATGTTTGGTCAGTTAAAAGTGAAACATTAAATTATTGTGTATCTAATAATTACTTATCTTAGCCAGAAGAAATTATAGTTCCCTTGGTGGCAAATATCTTGCTCTGTCAAATTTGAATTGTTATTTGCTTCGAAGACACTTATTTCATACTTGACTTTTCATCTTGTTAATTCTTTCTGTTTTCTTTTTCTATTTTTTATTTTTCATCTTCCAGACCTCTTCCTGTGCCAAAGCTGCCACCTGGAGAACAGTGTGAAAGTGAGGAGGACACAGAGTATATGACTCCCACCTCTAGGCCTCTAGGGCTTCAAAAGCCAGAGGTGAAATGGCCTTTAGAGACATGCCAGAGTTTACGGTAGGTTCACAACAATCCTGCTTTGGAATTAAGCTGACACTACTCACCTGTTTGGCTTGCTACTTTCATGTAGCTTTACCCAGCCACAAAGCAGAAAGATGTATCTTTGCTAATGTTTAAGCCTATTAACAGCTGTAAGCAATTCCTCTTAATATTCCTCAACATCACAGTAATCTAGAAAACATACATGTCTATTACTCATCACAAGAATGACTTTTACATTTTGTAGTGATACTGGCAAAAGAATGTTCTCTTGATAGAATCAGGGTCTAGAGTAATAGTGAATAGATGAATCTTAATAAGTTTGTGAATAACAGAGTTCTATTTCTAAAGATCATTGTGCTACTTTCCTTCCGGTTCAGAACATGTGACTGTGACCAGCAGATTGATAGCTGTACATATGAAGCAATGTACCATATTCCATCCCAAGTGGCACCACCTGACACAGAGAGCAGAACCTTTGGTGAGTAGCTATTCTGCCGTAGGAATGAGCCTGTAATATTTGGCTAGTGAGATAGCTTGATTTAAGCAGAAAATTCTTTTACATAATTTTATTTGCAAAATATCTTTGATCTGTGAGCAGTAAAATGTCTTTCCTTCGTTTTATTCCTTGTTCACACCACTAGTTTCTTTTCTGCTTTTTCATCCTTCCAGGGCCTAGAGACATTTGTGTTAAATGGCCTGGACCTGCAATGCTGGCAGCTCTCTTTTATTCCCACTGCTTTCTCACAGTGATGATATTCTTTTGTGTGTGTGTGGTAAATACTCAATTCCCATATTAACTAGCTTACCAAGGTGAAAATTCAAGGCAGCATACACAGGGCCCTCCAAAGTGAAATGCAGATAAAGTGTTGAATGATGCTATAAAGTGGCACTTAAGTGGCTTAATCCTGGCAAAATAGCTTTTGACATGTTCAGAAAGGTAGAACTACAGAATTGGTGTAGATTTTATTTTTTCTGTCTTTTATCTTCTCCCACAGGGCCTCACATGATGTTTGGCCTGTAGTAAATGTAATCAACATTTAGTAATGGTTTGACTCTGTCCATACATGCCTGAATGAAAGGATGTCCTTATATTGAAATGTAGTAGTAGATGAAGTATGCTAGAAGAAAATAACTAACTGCTCAAACTTTGCTCTAGATGAGGGTAATACGACTGCAGGCCATGCTGACATTGGCCCAGAAGAATCAGAAAATGAAGATGATGGGTATGATGTCCCTAAGCCACCTGTGCCAGCAGTGCTGGCCCGCCGAACTCTCTCAGACATCTCTAATGCCAGCTCCTCCTTTGGCTGGTTGTCTCTGGAAGGCGATCCCACAAGTGAGTCTCCAGGATACCTTGGGTTTGTACTGAAATGTTGTATGGCTCCTAATTTATACTGAAATAGAGATGAGTGACTGCCTGGTGAAGTAAATCAGTAGCTGAAAGTAGTAGACTAAACATTATGTCTAAATGGGAGGAGAGTGGGTTCTGGGTCCCCAGTTAGGAAGTTAAACTGTAGTCATACCCTAAGATTTTTTAAAAAGATTTTATTTATTTATCTTTAGAGGGGAAGGGAAGGAGCGAGGGAGAGAAATATCAGTGTATGGCTGCCTCCCATGCGCTCCCTGCCAGGAACTGGCCTGCAACCCAGGCATGTGCCCTGACTGGGAATCGAACCTTGATCCTTTTGTTCGCAGGCCCACGCTCTCAATCCACTGAGCCACACCAGCTAGGGCTCAGATTCTAAGATTTTGCTAGACTTTGAAATGAGGTTGTTCCTTAAACCATGGCTCCTCCTGTGTGGGGGGTAAGAAGGATTTCTGTGCATTATGACAGTGGTTATTAAGCTCAATGGTTCTTCAGACCACATATTCCAATTTCTGGGCTCCATTCCTTTGGAAAAGAGGTGTGTGGCCTCTGGGAAGCACACTGATTGGGCATGGACCCAACCTACATTTGGGTCTTGACTGTCAAGGACTATTTTTCTTGCACCTGTGGCTGCCTGGGAACACAACAGTCAAAACTTTTGTCACTTTCAACAGCTGGTAAAAAAGATATACTACAGCCATTTGCTGAAACAGGTGGTGATCCCCATTCACTCAACCTTATTTCTGTTTTGTTATTTGGAAAACGAGAATTTCAGTGTCTTTTCTGTCCCCCTCAGAAATTAAAAAAAAATAATCCAGGCAGTGATGTGTATGAAAACTTGTTTCCAAGTGTTAAGCATGATGCAAATGCAGATGTTCTGTGCTTATGACAGTAGTGGTTATTGTTAGCAGAACAGGTGCATGGTATATTTAGAAGGTTGTTTCTGCTATGAGAAGGAGGGGCCCATGTACTAAAATTCTTGAACCTGTAAAACCCAGTCTTTTTAAAAAATATTTATCGATTTGAGAGAGAGAGGAAGAGGGAAAGAGAGAAACATTGATTTGTTGTTCCACTTATTCATGCATTCATTGGTTGCTTCATTTTGTTTTTAATCTTTTCTTTAATAATTTTTATGTTGTTAGTCTATTACAGATGTCCTAATTTCCCCCCCTTTCATTGGTTGCTTCTTGTATATACCCTGACCAGGGATTGAACCCATAACCTTGGTGTGTCAGGATGATGCTCTAACCAACTGAGCTACCCGCCTAGGGCACCCAACCTTTTGACTGAAGAATATATGTTCCCAACTGACAGTATGTCAGTAATGTTTTGATACTAGTGTATTGTTGTTATTGCTACCAATCAAATCAGGATTCCCCTTCACATTTGCAAATATTTCCTTTTCTATTTCTTGTAGACTTAACTGAGGGTTCCCAAGTCCCTGAGAGGCCTCCCAAGCCGTTTCCTCGGAGAATCAACTCCGAACGAAAAGCCAGCAGCTCTCAGCAAGGTGGTGCTGCTACTTCTGCTGCCACCACCTCACCACAGCTCTCCAGTGAGATTGAGAACCTGATGAGTCAGGGATACTCCTACCAGGACATTCAGAAAGCCTTGGTCATTGCCCACAACAACATTGAAATGGCCAAAAATATCCTCCGGGAATTTGTTTCTATTTCTTCTCCTGCCCATGTAGCCACCTAGCACATCATCTTCCTGCTGCAGCTTCAGAGGACCAATGACCTGGGAGCTCTTACTCGAGTAGTACCTAAAGGGCAGAGAGGTTCCTCTGGAGACTTCACAGTGAAGTTTAGCCCTGTCTGTGGGATATCACATCTGTGGTTCTAAGATTGCAAAGCAGTGGAATGAAAATGGAGTGACTAGTGTGTTTTTATTATTTTATTTTGGGAGTATATTTGCAGGTGTCCTTCCATCTCCAGTCAGAGAGAGTGTGGGTTTTTTTTTTATGGTAGCCTACCTGGGGAGCAGTACAGAAAGCAGTAAGAGAAATATTGTGCTATAAATCCTAATTGAGGACTTGAGATTTTCCTGGGCTTAGGAATGTGGTCGTGTATATATGTTTGTCTGTGTTCATGTCTGTCCTGTAATTATAAAATTAATCTGCTTTTTGTGTTAATCCAAGGCAGGGAAAATTAGCACAAGAAGTTTAGGAAGGAATCTTATTAAAACTTCCATATACTGTGGTATTATACCCACCCCCAGTGTGTATTACAACTTTAACACTCCCCTGTGGTTGGGATTATCATATGCACAAAGTCATGTAATTTTAGAATACTTCCCCTCTATCCTTTCCCTGTTTTCTCTTTCCTCCTCTTCCTTGGTGTCTCACATTGGCAGTTAGCTTGCTATGACCAGCCCTGCTGAGCCAAATGATGTATAGGATTTCTTTATTGTATGTGATGGTGTTGGTTTGCTTGAAAGGGGAAAAAGGTCCTGTTCCTGTATCATTCTAGTCATGTTTCATACTAGCAGCTAGCACTAGCCACTCTAAAACACTGTTTCTATAGGAACATTGAATCTGTTAAAATAAGATGTTTAATTATTCTAACTACAATGAGTGATTTGAGATAGAGGCCTTCAGATACATTCCATGCTCTCTCCAGAAAATAGTCTGGGAGTCAATTGCCTTGGAACTAGGTATGCTTGTGTCTGATGTAGGTCATGAGTGTTTCTACTCAGTGGGAAGGGAAGAACATTAGCTTCTAGCATAGCTTTCTGGCCAAAATTCCAGGAAGCTTGAATCACGTGCTGTCTACTTTGTTATCCATAAAATGCACAAAACAGACAATAAGGGTTTACCTGTTCACTTTTTATTCCAAATGAATTAATTCCAGCTTATATGGGTGTCTCTCTGTGAACATGAGCCAAGTTATATTTTCTGTAGTGATTTTTTTCTTTGCCCTTTAGAAATGGGGGTACCATCCATGTTAACTCAGCATTTTTCTACCCAACAAATTGGTGTTCATTTGTGCCTATGGCTTTGGGAATGTAGCACCTCCTTCACCTTTCCTCTTCACCTTTGGTCCTATATACACTTTAATGACTGTGTTCCCACAGTAATTAGACATCATTTAGTGTGATAAATGACTTTACTATAGTCAGAGACAATATGTGAACAGCAAGGCAGTTTGTGTAATTGCAGATTCCCAAAGCAGATTCAGAATCCAGTGTCAGGCACCATTAGTTTTTGTAAATACTACCAAATGACCCCTCAAGTTCAGGTCATTCTTGCCCAGAATCTTTCATTGGTCTCCCCGAACCTTCTTCCTTATCAGAAGCAGGCCTGCTTTTTGTTGATCTACCTTCCTCAGACTCTAAATCATGCTTTTTGTCTTTAGATCCACAGAAATTGACTCTTTATTTAGATCTCTTTCTCATCTTGTCATCTTTATAACTAAAACTTTTCTAACTCTTCTCTTGGCTTTTAGCTTTTGGTTTTATCCTCTTATCTCAGAGCTATTTGCATTCTCATGGTAGACAGTACAGGACTTGCTGATTTGCTATGGTTGTCCTGTGTCTCTTCTGTGTGGTGGAGAATGACATGGCCCACCATCTGGCGTAGGAGGTCCTGAACTAGAGTGGAGGGCAGAATAGAGTGTCAGTGTATAGGAAACAGTAACTTGGCTTCTTCTAAAAGCCAGACTTGTGTTTCATTTGTGGTAACATTTAGTTTTGTGTTTTGTTGAGATATTGAAAGCCTAGAGAGAACTAAAAAAATGGCAGCAGTTTCCATGCCTAACCATACAGGGATTTGCTTGTCTGTAGATATTGCCCATAATCTGAAGATCTATCAAGAGACCAAAGCCCTGGTCTTTGTATCTATTCCTCTTTCAAAGTACATCCAGAATCTTCTTTGGAGATTATGTCCTTGCTTATATAGGCTAAGGGCAAGTTCATCCTTTCTTTCCTCAGTGGAGTACTAGTGTGGCTTTTGCTTTTTAGGTCCTTCCTGAACTGGGGTGCCAGATCCTTGTTAAACATGTACACCATTGGTCGGAGTATTATCTTGTCAGTTGTGTATCTGTAGGCATTCAGGGTTTCAGACTTTCTGTGAGGCTTTTCTCTTTGGGTGCTTTGAGGGTATATCCAGGTCCATGTCTGAGATTGCCAGGCGAGCTCAGGAAAATTTTCATACGGCTCTTGTTTTGAGGATAGTCCTAAAACTTTAATTTCTTAAATTTTCTTTTGACTACGGCCCTAGTAACTTGTTCCTCAAACTCCATTTTTATGATAATTTATAATTCTTTGGCTCTGTTCTGAATTAAATTAAAATTGCTCTTTCACAAGAAGGCTTTACGTTGAGTTTTTCCATTTTGACAAACTCATTCCTTTTTCCCTCCTATCACAGATGGTTCTTCCTCTCTTAACTATCAGGTATATAAGGTAAAACCACTTTGATGTTTTCCTTTTTCTTAAATGTATTAGGCTATTCTGTTAAACCCAGTCTTCTGCTCTCCAGGGTTGCTTTACATAGCCTCCCACATTAACTGGGCGGCTGCTGTGCAGGACTTGCAATGATCTGCCCGTCCCATCTCCCACTAAAGCATAGAGCTCTCAAAGTGGAAAAAATCTGTGGGTTCTATGTTATACCTCCCTTCAGGTACATAATAGATTGAGCAACATATCATCTTGCATTTACCTATTACTCTTTATGTAAATAGTGGATGGTCATTCTCTCCCACAGCCCTCTCTTTCCTCAGCCCCACTCTAAATGTTCTGCCATTCTTCTGATTGCCCTCTTCTTTTATAGACTTTCAGTACCAGGGCCTAGGATGTATCATTTTGCTGTTTTTGTGGATTAAAAAAAAACAAAAAACGGGCAGGGGGGCCATTGCTATTCTTCATACTTGAAGTATTTATTTTTTTATATAGAAAAGTAAACTATGTTTTATGGTCCAAACAGTGAACATACAAATGAGTTTTTGTAAATTATTTGTGAAGTAGGAACCCAGCTGTATGTTACCTTTAAGGCACTATTAACAAGATCTAGACCGTTTTTTCTTTTTTGTTAAAGTTCTAGTATAATTGACATATTAGTTTCAGGTATATAATCTAATGATTCAGTATTTACATATACTGCAAAATGATCACCACAGTAAGTTTCTAAGTTTAGTAATCACCATAAAAAGTTACAAAAAAATTCTTTTTTTCTTTGCGATGAGAACTTTTAAGATATACTCTCTTGGCGACATTCACATATGCACTAAGGATCTACACCTTTCTGTGGGTGATAACAATGGTGTTAATGCAGAGTCTTCTCCTACCTCACATCATGAAAGTCAGAGGGTTATAGACCTTCCCAACTATTTGGAAGTCCCCCTTCTTACTGTGTTCTTCCTGACTCTGTCCATGGAGTAACAGTATTCTGACCATTGACCTGGCTGTTTACCAGTTTGTTTGTTCATTCAGCAAAAGTTTATGAGTGATTTACCATTTGCCAGAACTGTCAGCTCGTGTTTTCTCCTACCACCATGTGGTGATTTACTGATGTTGGGGGATTTTACTTGGCTGCCTGGCACTTAGATTTGGCCCTAAAGTAGCCCTTCCCAGTAAGATTGTATAGTTTTCATTCATGGCTTTTACATTTCCTTTCAGAGCTGTCCTGGCTGAAGAATCTGTGTGGTGGTTTGAGGGGTATGTTGACTGAGAATTGCGCAATAAAGCAATTAACTGTTTAAGCAAAGCATCTACCCATGGTTCCCTTTCTAATGTAGTACCTCCCTTCATCTTTTTTACCGGGCCAATTGTGTCTCTAATCTCCCTTGTTGGGAAGTTTCCTTATTGGCCTTCTGTGACCTGTCACCCATTTGGAACTTGTTTTCCAGTCCTTCACCGAGTTTTGCAGCTAATCTTATGTTTTAAGGGTGGCTGAAGGTATAAGAAACCTATGGGCACTTGTTGTTGGTCCTGATCTTCAACCAGTTGTTTGGTCTCCTGAGAGTCAGGCAATGAAAATACACTGAACTCAATCAGTTCTCAAAAATGTCAGCCTTGCCCTGACTGGGTGGCTTAGTTAGTTGGAGTGTTATCCTGAACACCGAAAGGTTGCAGGTTCAACTCTCCCAGTCAGGGCACATACCTAGTTTGTGGGTTTGATCCCTGGTCAGGCATGTTTGGAAACAATCAATCAATGTTGTTTACCTCTCTCCCCTGTCACCTCTCTCTCCTATCTCTCCCCTCTCTTCCTTCTTCTTGCTCTAAAATCAAACATACCCTTGAGTGAGGATTTTTTTTTTAATGTCAGTTTTTGTCTCTTAAGGTAGGGAACTGAGAGACCTCAGACATCCTAGAACTTAGTATTAAAATCAACACATCATTATTCTCTCCTAGACTTTCAGTCTTCAGAAATTCAGTCTACAGCATTTTAATCCAACATAGAGCATTACTATTACTACTTTGATCTCCGTCTACAGTAGTAGTCTGTCTTTAGAACTGCATCTAGCCATTCAATACATGGAGGCGGTGCATAGTGGAAGAAGGTCAAGGATGTATCTTTGACTATCCTGTTTGGGAATCCTTCGGATGCAAGAAACAAGTACTGAAACTAAAGAAAGGACAGAGTCATAAGGATGCAGGGTATTTCACAGAACCCAGGAGAAGAAATACACTTGACTCTCGCATGGAACTGGAACACTTTGCACCTAGTCCTTTTGCTTGTCATTGTGTTTACTGGCATGCATAGGCCCAAAATAGACACCCTAATCCTTAAGTCCACAACTCTAGAGATCACCATGAACCAGATTCCATTGCTTCTTGGTTCATATTCTCAAGAAAGAATATGACCACCCTAGCACATTGATTAGGTATCTACCCCCTACCCTTCAGCCTTCCCACACAGGGCAACAGCAGCATGTCCCTTCAGGGGGCAGGTGGGGGTTCTCAGAGAAGGGGGTATAGATAGGAGAGATACCCTAAAAATACTTTAGCAGTAAACTGCTATCATACTACTTTTTTGAGAGTAAGAAGACAGCTGTGGCATTGTGTCTGGAACATCAAGGAAATCCTTATATTTAATTCAGGTTCTCTTTATTTCTTATTTTTCTTCTTATGAGTTTTTTTAATGAGACTTTTATGAGTCTTTGTGTCCAAGAGTTCTTATCTCTTTCTTAAGGACCAGTTTCTTCTGTTTTGGAGCTAGTCTGTTCTTAGGGTGATATTTCTTAGCCCTCCTTCTATCTCAGGTTTTTTAGCCTTCATTCATATCATTTAGAGAGCAGATCATCCCAAATCCCACTGTAGTCACCCATGGACTTCTGGGCTGTCTTCAGGTTTCAGCACTGAAAAGGGATTCATTCTATGACCTGTGTTCCTCTCTATACCCTCCTTCTCACCCTTCCATTTGCTGTATGAGGGGAGCTCCTTGGTAATAGTCTTAGGCAACCTCCCTTAGATACCTCAGAAACTGCTTTGCTGAAGCCAGTAAGGATACATAATAGTTGGGAGAGTTGTTAGGATATAAATTACATATAGATTCCAGTTTAGAATGGAGTTTTTGTGTGTGTTTGTTTTACTGAGAGCTCTTTAGACAGAATATCTTCACCTGTCCAGTTGCTTTCTTTGTAGTCCTGTATTAAAACCTTTGTTTTTATTTTTGAAACTGTGCTTCTGCTTGCCTGAATCTTTTGATCTTAGTTATCTCATTATGTAGTCTTGTCTTGTTATTAAGGCATTTCATAATGAGAACTTTAAAAAACTATTGGATTGTTATATATACATAGAAGCAACCTAATAATCCAAAGATGTATATTGAGGCACATGTTATAGGGTGGGTTATCAGACTTTACCTTTGGTATCCTAGTGTAGGTTCTGCCTTCAGTGTCCTAGGAAACCTGGGTTGATTTTGGAGAGGAGTGCCGAGTTTCTTGGTTCTGGAAAACACAAAGAGTAAGAGTTGGGGAAGTAGGGGTACATAGGTGCTGCATGGAGGCTCATTCATAGTCAGATGGCAGGTGCTTCCCCTCTTCTTATGTAGTGCCTGAGAAAACTGTGGCTTACCACACCTTCTGTTTGTGCAGAACAAAGGCCAAAGGCCAACCTCGAATCTGTTGATTTGGCAGCTCAACAAGTCAGAATTCTAATTGCCCAGCCCCATATTCTTGACTCAGTCCCAAAAATTAACATGGGAGGCACCCTCCACATCACCTCACGTTCTACCCATGAGGTAGACTAGGGGACCAGAGAAAGCTTGCTCAACACATGCTCTGTGCAACTGGTCAGGCCCCCAGTGGGTTTACTGTGGTCAGTTCTGTCCTTCCTCCTTACCCCTGACCCTGTTATGGTGGGTGTAGGTTGCCATCCTCATGGCTATCTGGAAACTGAAGAGGCAAAAAGCTACTTATGAGTCTTTAGACCACATGTTTTTTCTTCCTTGGCCTCTTTTGCTGTAAGTGAGTAAGCTTGCAGGAGCAATATCCATGAAGTAGATGCCTCCTGATCTACCCTTCTCAGCATTGTTGTAGTGTCTTGGCCTTGACCTGCTGAAGCATGTGGTTGGGCCATGGCAGCTATCAAGTATCTCTTACATCTGCTTTCTGTGGCTGGCTGTGGTGACTTGGGATTTTTAACCTTATATGAGTATATCTTTCTCTTTTATTCAAAACAAAAACAATTTTTAGCACACTGAAAAAAAAAAGCCAAACATATTGTGCCTTTGTAAAGAAAGGCTGCATTTTAGAGCTTAATATGGAAATAGCAGAGTCTTAGCTCTCCTCTACCTTGAGTATCACTGATCCCTACAGTCTAGGGAAAAGGAAGAAGTAGTCCATGTGGCTGGAGATGTCACACAGGGGCATAGTGTCAGTGGTCCCTTTTCCTTGCCTGTGATGCTTAGTTGGAAGAAACAAGCATTGTACTCTGGATCATTTGGTTGCTTCCCATTAGAGTCTTAGTTATCAGGTCAAATGATGTCTCCAGCAAGAATAGAGACAATGTTCCATGATTTCCAGGTCTACTCTGGACCATTTCAAGTGACCCAGCCTCCTAATCCTATTAATGGCCCAGCTGCCTGGAAGTGTCAGATGGACTCTAAAAAGGGGAGATTGTTTCTATGTTTCCCTCTTTTCTTTTTGGTAGATCCTGAACTGGCCTAGACCTCCTGCCTCTCCCTTTCATTTGAAGACTTTCAAACTGAAAGCATTAAGCAGCTAGTGCCCTCTGTGGGGTCTAGTTTCCCCTGGGAAAGGCAGAGAGAACCAAATACCAGAAGCCTGTCACCATTATTGTGGCCACTAGGTCTCAGGAGGCAGGCGAGGAAAAAAATGTTTCCTATATAATAGCATTTTACTTAATTCTTTCCCTTTTCTCAGTTCTTCCCTGCCTATAACTAATAAATTTGGGGATAGAAACAATTCTTTTTAAAGTCCTTTTTTGGGGATTTAACATACTGGGGCTGGAGGAAGCTTGATGCTTTCTCCAGAATAAGAGTCTCAATTTGTATATCAGTGTTAAATAACGTGAAAACTTAGATGAGATTTTTGTTGGCTATTTTAAAAATATGTCATTAATATAAAATTCTTTTGTTAGTAGTATTTAATCATTCTCACATGTAAAGAATAAGAAAAACAGAAGGTAAATATTCCTACAGAGAATAGCAGAGCTTTAAGATTCATTTTCATTTTAAGTCTACTTTGTTTTGCCAATGTATTAATGTTTAGAGGTTTGTTATACTAATGTTATTTATTAATTCATTTATATACACAGTTAACTAAAGAGCTTTTTCAAGCACCCATGTCTGTAAAAGTATTTTTAAATAAAGTTTCTTTTGTTGTAGCTGACTTGAGTTCTTGCTCTTTTGTGGGGGTGGAGGGGTGATACATCAGGCAGCTATGGAACCACTTATCACAGCAAGTCTGTACTGCTACCTCGAGGAAAAGTCTCAGCGACAGCAAAGTGTACAAAAAGGGCAACAGCTCCTTGTCAACAGCCTGCCAGGCTCTGTGGGCTGCCTGGACCAGGGCAGCTCTGCTGCTGAGCAGCGAGGTTGTCCTTTGTGCTAGGGTTTAAGCCATTTGCTCTGCTGCCAACTGCAAAGGGTGTGTGTTCCTCTTAGTCCCATTCCAATTCCAGAGGCCCCTGGCTGCTGTGGTCCCCATAATGAATAAAAAACAATGTAAACTTTCTGGGACATTAAGCTTTATTGTGTGTGTGTATAAAGGAAACCATTTGCAAATTTACACACAACAAAACCACACAAACACAGATACACATATATGTCCCAATCTCTTGCTAAGCCCCTGTTTCTTATCCTTAAAGTATCATCTTCCCATTAAGGCCCTTCTTTTGTGGTCTATGCCCATTAGCTCAGTTTGTAGAAGTTTGATGCTAGTATAACTATAACCTTAATCCCCTTAAAGAACTATGTAGATCTCATCTCTGTCCCTTACTCTCATCTTTCAATCATATGATTATGAGAGCCAAACGAATATAGACACTTGTGCTCAGTGGGCTTCACCCTGGAAAACTGCAGTTTCCTCACTGCAGGGACAATGAGATACAACCAGCAAGTCTTTTAAGGAATGATAGTAGGTCCTGGCTTCTGCCCAAAGAAAGGAATGTCACAAAAGGGACTCCAGAGACAGGCAGGCAACTGCTTCTAGATCCTGCTGGGGTACTGTCTAGAACTGGTGTGCACAACACACTTCACCAGTGGTGAGGGGGCTTGGGCTCTCAGTGCATCCTCATATCAGTGATACAACTGAATTATGAAGCCAACGTTGGGTGAGTAAATCACCTCAAGATAAATAGGCTACCTACTTCAATAGCTATTGATAGAAGAAGGGTATTTATATCCATAGTATGTGTAAAGAGAACACATGTTCTGCAAGAAACTGTCCTACCCACTCCTAGAATATCAAGGCCTCTCCTTGCGATCAGCATCACTCAACAAATTGAGACAGTGGCAGAATGTGGTCCCTGAGAAGGGGGCCTCCGGGGGCATCCGAGGTCCTTCTCAGTATGGCTCTGGTCCTAGCCCTTTGGCCCTCTGAAATGTCATCTGCAGTTAAGCTGGAGTAGAAGTCTTCTCTGTCGTCCACTTTACAGACATTGGTGACCATCCTGAGTGCTGGAGATGAGAGTGAGCAGGAGCAGGACATATCCAGGCAAAAAGAGGAAGAGTTCGGTATGATTCAGCGACTAGTGCCTCAGACCTATGTATTTCTCTCCCTAAACACGGGGGAAGAGAAGCAAGAGAGGAATGTGGAGATAGTGACCAGAGTTCAGGGTGTGAGCACTAAGGAGGGAGGAGGTATGAAGCAAAAGCTGACGGACTAGGTGTAGTAGTCTGGGGGAAAGAAGCAGAGGTGGGTATGGCAGAGCCAGGAAGGAACCTAGGCCCCTAAGTCACACCTCGTGACCTGAGCCACAAGTACTGTTCAGGAAATGGTGATGGTGATGGTATGGGTCTTCGCTCTCAGTCCTGGGAGCTACCCTGTCCAGGATCCCTCAGCCACGTGCTGGGTCCTACCATCTGTAAATACTGTTAAGGAGGGCAAGATGTGGTCCGCTCCCAAACTCCAGCAGAGAAGAATGAATAGAAAGTTAGTGTTGAGGGAAATGAGAATCATTAGCCCCTGTTGTTGCCAATCCCTGAAGTTGCATCAGGCACTGGCCACAGGAACTGCCTCCTACCTGGTCTCCTGGAGCCCTCGTGTCACGGTTGCTGCCCTGAAGGAGGCTCATGGCTTCTGGGCACTTATCTGACTTAACTTCAAGCTATAAAATCTCTCTTACGAGATGGGGGCAGCGTTCTGGGAGGACTAAGGCAGGCAAGAAGTTGGCAACTTGGGTAAGGGAAGGAAAGGGCCCTTGGGAAGGACATTGGGCTGAGTGATGGGCTCTTTGGTGCTCTGGGGCCAATGCAGGGGAGGGAAATAGGTAATGAAAGGAAGAAAGTATGATTGATGGAAGCTTGGTAGTGGGCAGTAAAACAAAGCACTAAGACCCAGTGCTCCACTTCTGCCCCAAAGGTGTGAGTAGGTGTTGGGGCAAACAGGGAAACATGCTGGGGCAAAGGGAAACATCCCAAAGAAGCAGCAAGCTGAGTAACAAGATGGGGTAACGAGCAAGGGGCTAGGAACCATGCTTACATCTCTTGTTTGCCTGACCTCCCACAAGGCAACTTGCTCTTCTTGTAGAAGAAATAGAGGACAGCACCCAGCACGGCCAGGATCAGGAGGCACACGGTCACAGCCACGATGACCACACCTTTGCTTTTGGGCTCTGGCAGCTTTTTCTCTGTCCCACAAAGACACTCCTATTCACTTCCTGCCCCAGGCTGTGGCATTTCCATCACTGCTCCCCCCAACCAAAGGTTGAGAGAGGGGGACTGTGCTTACTTTTCTGGACAGGGTTTCCCAGGGACAGTCAGGACACAGTGAGGATGCCCTGGTATAGCCCTGGTCTTGCACCAGGCCTGTCTTACCTGTAGAGGTGCTGTTGGCTTTGGCATAAGGATTGACAGTGGAGGTGATGAGAGCAGTGGTTCTGTTGGAATCTGGTGGGAGAGCAGTTAGATGGATTGTGACAGGGGGTTGTTGGAAAAGCCTAAGTTGGTGCCCTCGCCTTGGCATGCCCCTGACATGCTCTGCAGGCCAAAGCCCATACCCAGCTCCAGGAAAATGATGGTGCTGTTTTTGCCCAGGGAGTTGGAAGCCACACATTCAACACCTGTCTCCAACAGCTCTGGAGTCACAAGGACACTCAAGATGCTCAGGACACTCTGTGAATCTTGGTCTTGTTCATTTGCCTACAAGGAAGGAGCAGCTCAAGGGGTGGGGAGGATGTCCAGCCATGGCAACAAAGCCTGGGCAGGGATCAATGAGAGCACGGGAAGATGAGATGCGCCTGCTCACCATGCCACCAACATTCCAGGAGATGCTAGGCCGAGGATGTCCTGAGGCTTCACAAGACAGATTCAACATTGTGTTCTCCTGCACCTGCATCTTCCTCTCCTTTAATGCCACCCATGGGGGCCCTGGAGAGGCAGCAAACTCTGCTAGCCTATTTCCCCCTCCCCACAGAGCAGCCCAGGGCAGTGAGTGGTTTTATGTCCTCAAAAAACTTGAAACACCCAACTTGGGGTGGCTCCAAGGGCCACCTGATCTGTGCCCAGAGGGTCTCACCCAAGATAGCCACATTGATCAGCTGTGTAGAGTTCAGGCCGGGCACGCTGGGCACAGATGCCACGCAGCGGTAGCCTCCCCCTGCCTTCCGGTTCAGGTTGTGTAATTGAAGCACAGGCCCCTTTCCCAGCACCTTGCCTGTCTGGAGTGAGAGACATGTCAGAGGCTACTCCCTTCTCCATCCACCTCCACCCACTCCACAGCCCCAGGGCCACCAGGGTACCTTTTCTCTCAGCCACTGGAATTCAAGGGCCTGGTTACTCTCTGCCCCACAAGTCAGGGTGAGATTGCTGCCCTCTTGGCTTTCAGGGGCTGCGGGAATCACCCAGACATCGGACACATCTGAGGATAGCAACAGTGTCAGCGTGTGGGTGGCAGAGTGAGCAGATTCCCTCTTGCCACAGCCCAGTCCCCCTGTACTGGGCCCTCAGCCCCTCACAGTTCACCAGGAGCTCCTGTTGGTCACTCGACAGTAATGCCATGGTTTCCAAATCCAGGCCCTGACATTCGTAGAGCCCACTGTGCTCCTTGTGGGCAGACTTCAAGACCAGGACTCCATTGTCATCAACTGCCTCCTCCACCACCTCCCTGGTGCTGAGGTTCTGGGAGAAGATGCAGGGGTGAGCGGAGTGCACCTCCATCCCTTCTATATCCTTGTTTGCACCCACATGAAGCCCTCTGCACCTGCTTGCTGATGCTGAAGTGGGGTAAGGGGTTGCCATCAGCCAAACACCTGATTTCCACATGGTCCCCTTCCTTCAGCATTCCCACAGGCTCCACTTCCAACCATACTTTCTCTGCCGGGTCTGCATGGTAAAGGGGTAGCTCTCAGCCCACACTGCCCATGCCTGGGGACAGAGAGGCTAGCAGGCGTCATCCCCAGGCCTAGCCCCAATTCAATGGTCAACACTCACAGAAAACAGGGACAGTGACTTCCCCAGATTCCTTCATGTGATTCCCACTGGGCAGCCGGTAGTTAAGCTCACAGTAAAACTGGGCATCTTTGTCCTCCTTAAGCAGCTGTGCCTTCAGAATACTCTGCACAGTATACAGACCACTTGACTCCACAATCTGCGATGACTGAATGTGGACCCCTGGGCAGGGAGGAAGGGGAAAAGGGCTTGGCCTCAGCCCTGCCTCCATGGTCTCCCTGGGGTTGTGAGGGGAGACATAAAGGGACCTCTTATCACCTGCAAAGGGCCACATACAAATGGCAAGCTGCAAGTTCTCACTGCTAGATATCCACCCCAAACAAACACACATGGGCACACACAAAGATGTGTGAAAATAATGCTGCAGTGATGAAAAAGAGAAATGAGGAAATGCTGTAGACATCTACTACATGGGCATGAATGGAATCCTGGGCAGCCAGGGTAAACAATTAGGTAGATCTAAATAAATCTTTACTGACCTGTAAAGATTTCTAAGACTTATTGTAAAAAGAAAAAAAAACTGTAACAGTGTATACTATACAATACCATTTAGATCAGGGTTTCTCAACTTCAGCACTACTGAAGTTTTGGGCTAGACAATTCTTTGCTATAGGGATTGTCCTGGACACTGTAGAATGTTTAGCAGCATCCCTGACCTCTACCTAGTAGACACCAGTAGCCCCTCTCCTTGCCCCAGTCAAAACAACCAAAAATGTCTCTGGATGTGACCAAATTTCCCAGAGGGGGAGCAGAATCACCTCTGGATGAGAACCACTGATTTATGTAATAAAAAACAAAAGCCTATATATTCCCAGATGTATTTGCCTATGTGAGTAAGCATATAGAAACAGGCTTGAAAGAACACACACTAACCAACAGCAGAGATTAATTCTGGGGCAGGGGCACTGGGTCTGGAGCAGGAAGGAAACCTTCCTTTTATATTATCTGTACAATTTAAATTCTTATGTAAATATTTTCAAGTATCACTTGTATACTTTAAAAAAAGTAAAATAAAATGTAAGGTGGTCTTTGTGTGGCACCATAAGCATGGTTTTTAAGGGCCAAGAGGGGTACTCACGGTTCTTCTCTTCCTTCAGAGGCCTGCCGTTCTTGTACCAGATGACTTGAGGAATGGGGTAGCCATTTCTCCCCACACAGGTAGCAACCTACGAAGAATAGAGTGAGTTGCCTCTGAGACCCTACGAAGCCCTACAGCTCCTCTTACTACCTGGCCACCTTTGTATGTCTCACCTCCTCTGGCTCCTTACTGTTCACAGAAATGCCCAAGGCATTGGCCTGGATGCTTGGCTCCTCTGGAGCTTCTACAAGGGAGAGAAATGAGAGGCATGGAACTAGCACTACATCGACCCACACTGCCCATGAGGCACAGGTAGGGCACTCACTGTAGACACGGAGCTGGAAGCGGTGCTCCTGGGACCGAGGGCGCTTGCCCTGGCACAGAAAGATGTGCTCATCATGAGGGGTGACATGTGTCAGGGCCAGAGTAGTCCCTTTGTCCTGGAGGCTGAGCCGGTGCTGGTACTCCCCAGGTTCACTCTGACCATGGCCCTGGTACGCACGGAAGATGAGTGTTGGCTTCTCCTTGTGGACCTAAGAAGAGGCAATAGGGGAGGGGCATCCTGGGCTACATGAAGGGTAGAGCTCCCCTACTGATGCCCTCTCTGGAGCCCCAGCACTCACAGAAAACCAGTCGATGACATGGCTGAAGTTGCCCTGGGAATGGGAGGGGCCACACTTGAGTAGGGCCGTGCTGCCCACTTCTACCTCCACCAGCTCAGGCTCTGGCTGCTCTGCCACTACAGGCACACCTGGGGGTGAGAGAAGGAGCACCCCAGCAGTGTCAACTCCAGCTGCTGTCCAGGCCTGCACACTGCTCACTGCAGTTGTTCTTCTTCCCTCTTCCAGTATCTGAAGAGAGCCCTGTCCTTTCCTAACCCTCAGCCACTCTCTACCCCTTGCCTCAGGCCAGCTCTCTCCCAGTTAGTTCAAGGGACTTGGGATGGTAATCTTTGGTCATTGGAGCAGAGACTCTGAGTGCCAGGCACCTCTATGATGAGGCTGGCAGAGAGGGCTACTCATACTCTGGGCCAAGAGGAATGCCCTTTCCCTTCCAGGCCCCCTCCTCTCTGAGTGAGCTCAGAGTGTGGGAATGTAAAGCATGTGCCAAGCTGGGGCACACAGGCCCCTTTGTGTCACCACAGCCAAGGGAAAATATCACTACTCTACCATTTAGCCGCCACCAAAACCCCTCCCTAAGTCTCCCATAAGACCCACTGGTCCAATCCTTGCCCAAAGCTCCCCTTTCGTGATTAGAAAGCAGCACCTCTGAACATCTGACACACTCAGAGGACCTCAACCTGGGAGTCTTGTGAGGGCTCAGAGTTTCCCCTAGGGGTCAAGACAAGGGCCAGGAAGCAGGCAAGAGTGACATCAGTGGTGCCTGCATGTTGCCCACTCTGTTTGGAGGTGATGTCACTCAATCCCATCTTCCTGGACTCTGGGATCCTATCTGACTGGACTCTGGGGTTGTTTTTCTGGTCTGGCTCCCAGACAAGGAAGACAGATGGAATGGTCTTTCATCCCTCAGCAGAGGGCTCAGACCCCTGATTCCATTTCCCCGGATGTAGAAGAGCAGGGCAGGGTGACGCTGGACCTACCGCTGCTGTGGAGCCTGAGTTAGCCCTTTTGCCAGAAATACAGTCACCTCGGGAGGTAGCAGACCGGGCTAGCTCTCCCCTTCCAAAGCCGGAGAGCGGCGGCAATTTGGGAGAAGGAGCCAAAAGAAACATGCAGCACCGCTGCGGGCCATACAAGGGCAGTGTGGACCCGGGAGCACCCGGCTCCTAGCAAGTTCGTGCAGGGGTGCTCTTCCCACCTGAACATGGTCTCATTCCCGGAGGTGTAACAGTTTGGGGCGCTTCCACTCTAGGAAGCTTCTATCCCTCGTCTCTGCTGGCTGTGATACCATCACCAGGGTAGGTATGAGGCGACCTACACCGCCCCCCAGCTCCCGCTAACGCCCAGCTTGGTCGAGAGCCGCCGTCTATCCCCTCTTCTACATCTCCAGCCAGACTTGAAGCCCAGGCGGGAGAGGGTGGGGTTGGCATACACTCTCCAGCTAAGAAAGCCGTCTTTCCCAGCAACAGGCGGGAGCGGAATTCACGATTTGTGGATGATGTTCTCTAGCTGTGCATCCCTGCCACTGCTCCAACTATGGGCCCCACAGAAGGACCTGAGGAAAAAAGGTCTCTGGACGCCCCAGTAGGCTCGGCTCCACCCCTAAGCGCTCCGAGCCGCAGCCTCCTCCTCCCGAGATACTGGAATACAGACTGCAAACTGGCTGAAGAAAAAGAGTGGCGTGCGCTCAAGGCGCCTGGTGCCGGGGACTTGAGAAGGACGGGCGCATGCCGGGAGCGCAAAGCTCCAGCCCCTACCTCAGGGCCGGCTACGGCTATTCAGGGTACGGGTCCCCCAGCGACTTCACTCACCCGCAGCGTGGCCACAGCAGCAGCAAGAGGCCATCAGGAAGGCACAGAGCAGCCTGGACAGCCCCATACTTCCCCGCGGAGGGCCAGCGCCAAGTGAGAGAGCTCCAGACTGCCGGGGCTGACGTCAGGGGGAGGGGGAGGGAGAGGGGAGAGAGGGCCTTGCTGGTCGCCCTGCCCCTCCCCTCCTCGCCCCGCAGCCCCCAGCCCCTCCCAAGACGCTGCACCAGAGTCCGACTCCCAGCCCCGACCTTGGGAAGGGTGAGGGGGCAGGGACAGGTGTCTCAGGCCGGACTGACTAGCAGAGGCGGTATCAAAGAGAAGCTGGCCGGAATGGCCAGAGTAGCTGTGGTCAGGACCAACGGCGCTCATCGCCACCCTCTTCACCCCGGCTCAGCTCCTACCAGCAACTGCAGCTCTGAGGGACCTCCGGGCGGGAGGCTCAGCTAACAGAGGCATCGCACTCAGGATCCTCTCTCCCTCTCCTTCTCCTTCTCCACCCCTCGGGGCCCCTGCCATAGGGAAAAAAAAAAAAAAAAAAAAGCCGATTGCCCTATTGCGGCTGCTGCCGGCCTGGCACTGCCCCCACGCCTGACAGTCCTGGCAACTTTGCGGGAAGAATTTAGGGCCAGATCCCACACAGACACAAAGGTACCTGCATTGGGGAGTGGAGATGGTGCCTTTGAGCTGTCCATTCAAACCCAAGCTACTGCAGGTCCGTCCTGGACTAGAGGAAGGAGGGAGGGAGCTGAATTCATAAGCCCAAGGTTTTCAAACTTGTCCAAGCCGAAGCCTTGAGAGTTGTGTTTCTGCCCTCTTCGCTCGTTAAGTGCCTAGGCTGGGACTCAGTTTCCCCTCACCTTAATGGAAAGAGGGAAAGGAAGAGTTTAATGGGTACAAGGTCTCCACCTAGACCCTTGAGACCCTGTTGCTGGGGAGGGCAGTTGAAAAGACTCCCTGCAGCAGGGCTCTACCTGCCAACCCACAGGCTCCGTGGGGAGTAGAATGGGCTCTTGACTCAGAGAGAGCTCTCACCCTGGCCCCTGGGACTCCTTCAACAAGGGAGAGTCAAACGAGGGCCTGGATTTGAGGTGGAGGTCTGTCACCTGGCCGGGCAGACCTTCTGCTGGTTGGGGGAGGAGCAGGGTGAGGCAGCAAATGCCAGAGATGGGCCACTGACTTGAGATAATGCTCTGGGATGGTGCGTTGATAACACAGAGATGACCAGCAAACCACATCACTCTTGTCTTTCAGAACCCTGATACCCCCCCCCCCACACACACACACCGTCCTCCTTCTCCAAATAGGTTAGGGGCCATGCAAAGTGCTGGGGGCCTGGGGCCAGGGGGCATAGAGGAAGAAGAGGACCATGTTTCCCCACTCCCCAGAGTGAATATAGGGACTGGCCTGGGGCCTAGAGTGGAATGGATGAGTTTGTCTGACTGCAGGGGCAGCAGTGGGAATGGCTGAAGGATGCTATTTGCCTTGGCAAGCCCAGAGCTGGGCATACAGCCTTGCTTCCCTGCCCCCACCCCCTTCCCTTCACTTAACACCATTAACTAATCATTCTCTTTTCTTAGGCCTGAAGACAGTGCCAGCTAACCTCCAAGGACAGTCAGTACCCTGAGGAAAGATAAGCCAGATGGGGTTAGAGGAACTGGCTCTGCAGTGAAGGGGAAATGAAGTTAGAGCCCAGGTGACATTTCTTCCTAGCATTGCCCTGCTAGACAAGCACAGATTGTTCTTTAAGGAAGCCAGTAGCTTGGGGTGATTTGAATTGCCAGGGAGCAGACATCTTTGGGATGGCTTAATAACGGGAGCATTTTGGGATCCCAAACCAAAGAGGCAAGACCTTGGAGGGAATTCAAAGGGGACTGGAAACAGGAAGAAAGGGGAGTGAAGACAGAATAGGGTACATGGAGCAGAAGATGTTGGGTATCACCTCTCTGAGCTTTCTGCCAGCAGAGACTCTTGCACCAGGACTGGGTTAGAAGCAGCCTTGCCCAGATATAGGCCAAGATCAGAAGAAGAGGTCCCCCAGCCAGAGTCCTAATTCTTTGCCTGACTTCCCTGGAGAAAGAAGGGGTATGAGTACTTTCTACCAGCACCTCATGGTAGACCCAGGCTACTCAGAGATATGAGAACCCTGTTAGAAATGTGGGAGAAATAGAGGCGTGAGGAACCGGATGATCTGATCCAAGTGCCTTTATTTGATGCTGCACTTATTACAGGTGGGCTGAGTCAGATCGACTGCAGCCTGGGGTGGGGGGCAGGAATGGGGTTTTTTAAAGAAATGACTCAGGATTTTTGGGGCTAAAGGGGAGGGATTAGTCTCTTGTTCTTCTGGGCAGGTGCCTCAGGGTTCCAGGATGTGAGCCTGGACAGTGGGTTAGGTAAAGGGCTGGGCTGTACAGGAGAGTCAGTCTGACAACTAGCCATTGTGGCTAGCCCCAGGTGTCTATTGTGAGCAAGAGAGAGTTAAGCCTTGGGCTACCAAGCGAGTCAGGACAACTGAGTCCTGGGCAGTCCAGTGGCTTGGAAAACTGGCCTGACCCTTTCAAACCCCACCGTGTGAAAGGCCCTCTGTTGTGTCTCTCTGGCATGGGTGTGATGGAGGCTGGGTGGGGTGGTGGCTGTATTCTAGGTACCTCAGCTGAAGTCTCCAGGGTGAGTGGGTCTTTCATTTCATTGTAAGGAGAAGTGGAGAAAAGTGGTGCCCAGCTCCAGTGGAGCTGGAGGTAAAAAGACAAGGATGGGCCTGCCTCCAGGGGCTCACCTGGGTGAAATTTGAACCTAGGAGCCCTCTGTCAGCTCTAGCATAGTGGGCACAATGGCCTCCCACCCACCCCTCTGGTCCAGGGGCCTCAACCAGGAGGATGTGAGAGATGCAGGCTGGGCTGAGGAAGGAAGCTGATAAAAGAGAAGTTTGCAGCTGCAATGAGAAGGAGCTGGGGATGGAGGGGATGGCCCAGTAATCTTGACAATTGTGGATGCTGTGGAACCAACCCCCTGGACTGGCCAGAAAATAGGATCCAGTTTGGGTTAGAGAGGTAGGAGAATTTTTCCAGAATGGGTGTCTGAGCTGGGAAATGACTGTACTGAGGAGTAAAAAACTGGGTGGGAGGACAGTGGGGGCAGTTGTTGCTGAGGACAACATCAGGTCAGGAAACCAGATACTGGGGGCTGGGTAGATGTGGGGAAGAGATTGAATGGGGGGAAGCAACCCCTATCCTGGCCTCAGCATCTGACTCAGGGTAGGAGGAAGGTGCTACCTGGATGGAGGTGTGCCCCAGAAATACTGTAGAAGAGGAGGGTGATGATTTGGGGGGATGGGAAGGGCTATTTTTAGACTTGGAAAAAAAGTGAGTGAGTTCATCTCCACCCTGAGTGCTGGAAGCCGAAAAGGCCCCATTGTACAGGGGCCCAGAGAAGGGGGGGGGGCAAGTGGCACAATGATGAGGATTATGTTGGAGTGTAGAGTAGAGTGGGGAAGAGGGTCTTTTTCACAGCTGGCCTACTGAACTCCTGGGTCCAGCCAGGCTAGGGTTTGGACAGGAGGCTTTTCCATGCAAACAAAGTCCCCTTCTGGGGTACCGGGGTCTCTGGCATCACTGGCTCATCATGGTGAGGGAGCTGAGGGTGGGATTCCCATAGCCTGGCTTTCTCAGGGACTGCAGGGTCGGTTCCCAGGCTCCCAGCATTCCAGTGACTCCCATGGGAGATTGCTGGCCTCTACTCTCATCCTGTTCCCTGCCAGGGAGTGGGGAGAAAGAGGGGGAAAGAGGATGCGGATGTATAGGGACTCTTCCTGGAGAGTAGGCACCCTTAAGCCACAGGAAGGGGACAGAAGTGAGTGGGTGGTATATGCTGAGGATGGTTACAGCCCTCCCATCCTATTCCACACCCTGCTGTGCTCTCAGAAAGGGGACTGTCACTCTTGTCCCCTCTGACCCCAGGGGCTTCTCCACATAGACAGTCCTCTAGCACCCAATGCCCCAGCTCGGGGCGGGGCGGGGCGGGGCGGGGGCTGGCCGTGGCGTTCTAACACCCCTTGTTTCCCAGGTCTTGCCTAGCCCAGGCTGCGGGGAGGCGGGGCATCCTCTGCAGCTGTACACACCAACCCAAATACTACCATAAATGCTCAGGCGGAGCCGCCAGCAAAGGGAGTGGCTCCTGCTGGGGATTCTGGGTTCAGGAAAGGAAACCGTCTGCTGTCTTTCTTTTTTTTAGCGCAAGCTGTCAGCTAGATTCGGTCTGCTCCCTCCCCACCCTGGAAAGTGGTCCAATAGAGTTGGGGGTGGAGTTGGGCGGAGAGCCGAGGCTGCCTCCTATGGGTTGCCTCCTGGGTGTGCAGTGACCTGTGATCAACAATAGAACCTTCTAGCCCTGAGTTCAGCACTGGGACCGGTGAGGACTTATGGGTCTCCCTCCATCTCTGTAGAACCCAGTCTTGTCAGCTGTAATAATTGGGGGCCTTCTGCCCCCAATCTTGGGTCTCACTTCTCTGAACTCTGAGGGCCTAAACCTTTCCCACCTGCTCCTCCCACCCGAAATTCGGAGAGTGCAGCATGTTGAAGAGAAGGTTGGGAACAGAATACTGGGAGTTTACATCTCTCTCCCTCATGGAAGTTCACATCCTCTCCCCAAAATGACACCATCCAGGGTGAGGAATGTCCCCAGAGAGCTGTTTAAATTTGATTGACTTATCCTGAGAAAAGGCTAGCCAGTCTACAGGAGAGGAGTCTATGAGAAACCCAGGAATGCCAGTTTTGGGTCTCCTGGCCCCTCTCCTTCCTAAAGACCACTTCTGCATTTGTTTTTCCTTCCACACAGAGCTTGGTGCCCCGTGGAACCCTGGGGGAAGGAGCCTTGTTCCACTCCGCCTTGGTGGGGCTTGTGATCTCCACTAAGGTTTCCACACATGATCTTGGAGGAGGGCAGGCTGGTGAGAGGAAAGAGAAGACAGCATGCAAGCCTGGGGCCTGCTCCCTGCCTCCTTGACCCCCATTCCCAGTGGCTGGGGCTTCAAGAGAACTTGAAAGGTGGAGAGAACACAGGATTTGAAGTCAGTGAAAGTTCCACACTAGATCAGACCAGTCTGTGCTCTCCTGTGGCACTTTTCCTTTATATCCCCATGTATAGGGATGTAAAGCAACTGGAAAGTGTTTGCTCAACTTTTTTCTCAAACACCTGGCTGTAAACTCCAGGAAGGATCTGGTGGCTTTGAGGCACCCCTGCCACTTAGTTAATCTCTGGCAACTGACTGAACCATGACTGTTCAGGGGGAACAGGGCAGTGCTAGAATGAGGAAAGAAGCCACTCATATTCAACGTATGTACAGTGCTTTGCAATGTAGATGTTTTACTTATGGGTCATTT